TTTTTCAGGGAACTGGTAGAGAGGAAGGAAATTTCGGTGATCCACGTGCCGTCTCCGTACCAGCGTGCAGATTTTCTCACGAAGAGCTTGCCGAAGGACGCTTTCGAGTCTCACCGTGATTTTGCAATGAATTTGGCATGAACATTTTATTGTTTTTCTGATTGGTTGTGTTTTGGTTTTGTTTTGTTTCTCGTTTTGTTTCCCGTTTTCTTTCATTTCTCGCGCCAAGTATTTGTTACGCGCGATGCAGTATTCATGTTCCTTTGAATTGTTTTTCCCTCTTATGTTATTCTGGTCGAGTATTGATGGCATATATTCTTGGAGAGATGTATTTTGGTTGAGATATCGAGTGTTCGCGAAGTTTTCAGTGAATAACTGTTGCGAGCAGGGGGGATGTTAGATATACTCGCAGCAGTATCTGGTCGTGAGGATCCCAGGGGGATACGTGTTGGGAATTTCGTGTGTTGCAGGGTACCATCGGTGCGGTCACGGGGACCCTTTTGGCGTGGTTGGTGCGATGAAGCTTGCGTGCGTGCTGCGCTCACTTCTTCCTCTCTCTCTCCACCACCACCACCGTCTCTCTCCAATCAAGTTTCCTTCTCCCACTCTCTCTCCAACTCTCTCTCAATCTCTCTCTCTCGGCCTAACACGGCCGACTACCCAGTGCCCCAAGTAACGTCCAGAACGTGCTTGCTGCACCCCGCGTAGTTTACCTTTCACGTAGTTTACCTTTCAAGAAGGAACAGGAGCTAAAACGTGCAAGTACGAATAATGGGTCCTCTGCGATTCTAGGGGGTGTGCAAGTAGAGACCGGTCAGGTACAGTTTCGGCTTGACCTGAGCACGTAGGTTTTCGCTTGTGGCGAAGAGGAGGCACATGCTAACGTAGCGTATCAGGGGGAAAGACCTTGCGATTTTGAAAGGAATCTCGAAAGATTAATCCAAGGATAGGTAGGGGAAGGCGACTAGTCAGAGCTCTGTCTCTTTCGTGGATGTTGCATAACAACGGCACGGCGGGGCTTGAATTTGTCCCAGGGCACCCCCCCGTAACGCGACACGCCCTTTGGCGGTTGTCAGAAACGGTGCTCATGTCCCAAGTACAGAGAAATGAGAGTGGCCAATGGGGAGAACGCCGACAAGGGCTTGAGAAAACAATGCAATGGATTTATTTCTCCCAACACCCAGGTATGTTCTGCACAAGCAACGACCGTCAAGTTGCTAGAGGTGTCGTAGTATTGGGAGGCCTCAGGACAGATTCCAAAAGTATTTCTGCTGATACCGAGGCAGGGTCAGGCATACAATCATGGTGGTCACGCTTTTCACAGCTCCGTTGAAATTTTTCTCGCCATCGCCCGTGGGTTGGCTAGAATAATTAAAAAAAAAATTGGCAATAATAATGGGTCGATGATGAACAAAGAAAAATGTCCCAAAGCAGGGACACGCTCCTCCTAAAGTATTCATGGGAGGCTGCGAAAGCTTAGTTTACGCAATGGTACGACAACCCTTGTTTTGGCTTTCATTCCGTACCGCCATCGTCGGCACAAATCGAGTCGGTCGCAACGATTTCCGATCTGGTCGTCACATGTGTGACAAAAACACACCCTACCCACACAGGCTAGAACAACAACGCACGACGAACAGAAATTCCGAAACAAACCAAGCAAGGCTGTCCACGCGAAAACACGTGGTGGCAAAACTTTATGTACATGTACAACAAGCCCCCCTCCCCCCATCCGTGAAACATGCCGAGGCATGAAGGGCAAAATTTCCAACAAAACATCAAGAAGTCGCTCGTACCCGGGAGACCCAGTACTCCAAACCTAGGGGGCAGGCAGCCAATAAAAATAAATGTGCCGCGGGGACGAAACCAAGCTGTACTCAGTCGTACCGCTAAACGAACCCAAGGGGTTGCTCAAATACTGGTTTATCCATTGACAAGCCCACCACCCGAGTTTAAGGAGAGCACACTACAGAGAAGAAACGTGAGGGGCGGTGTGGGGACACCTCGTTCCAAAGGCAACAAGCTCTGTCCTGTCCTGTAGAAAGTGTTTCTTACTAAACCCCCATATCGTCTAAAAATATTGTCAGTAGGCCCCCCCCCCCTTCCCCACCTTCTCGCCAATCCTGTTTGGTCTCTCGTTGCATTCTCAGCAGCTGCCGACCATCCTATGCAAGCCGCGACTTTTTCCCGCTCGCAGGTGCAGACCATCCAACAAAAAACACAAGAGAAGGTTCCATGAAAAATTCAATTAAGCAAGACTGACTAACGGAAGTTCCCCCTACACGCTCAATCAAACCATATGTAGACTATATCGTCACAAACAAGAAGTTTCTACAAACAAATGACACGGCTACGGTTGGAATAGAAAGCACGAGAAAAGACCAAATCCCGCACGACGAAAGGGGTACGGTACCATGGGTCGCAAAATGAAGCGGCACGAAACTTGCCGATCATGGGCAAGTTCGGTTCTTTTTTCTTCCCGACTCAATCCCCGACCGTGCAAACCACGCCCCAGCCCGTGTTTGCCCGCACCGCATCCTTCCCAACACCAAAACCGAAAATCACTAGCGACGATCTTCATAAACGCCACCTCTTCAGCGAACTCACTTCTTCACCGCACCCCATCCATTTCGGCCTTGTTTGGCTTACGAACACCCTCTACTAGATCCGTGACATCACTGCCCCGTTATGTTCGGTCCCGATCAAAAGAAGCAGTGCCACAAAACAGACCCCATTTCCCACCCCGTCAGCAGATTGATGTGTCGACCGTGGTCGTAGGTGGAGATGGTCGGGAGTTCATCCAATCATTCCTGCCTGCGAGGTCAGCGGCACCCGCCGTGGCGTTGCGCGAGCGGGAAGCATCGCCGCTAGGGTCGGGCAGCACCTACTCCGCCGCTGCCGCCACCGCTGGTGCAGCCGCCGCCGGTGCCCTGCCGAGCAGCGCCGACGCCTTCCTCAGTAGGTCCACGGAAAAAAATCGTCCCCGCAAACCAAATCGTGGCAAGCAACAGGCCTCGCAAGCACTGCCAACAAAAAATACGCGGGGGGGGGGGGGGGGGACTCCTAATCCTGGATGCCGTAATCCTTAAAACATTTACCTTTTATCCTCCCATCCCTACAAAACCCGGAAAGAACGGGGGGGGGGGGGGGGGGGGGGGGGGGGTTAA